TATTTACACCTTTGGACCCTGTAAATAAAACTCTTTTGGAGGGTACTGGAGTACACCGGTAATGGGTACACCGGTGTACCATTCTAAGCCAAAGACGTTTAAGAACAATTACCAAGGTATTTGCACGATAAAATATATTTAAAACTGTTCACTTTATATACATGTAATGCATGGTTCAATTCTTGCTTTTACCAAGTAAACCCAGGGATTTTCAATGCCCCCTCCTCCCGTAGAATTCACTTGAAGTGACTGGGGCAAGGTAGCTATAAGTATAAGTAGTTATATTAATTTAATTAAAGTCAATTAAAATTTACAAATTGAGCCTTTTGAATATAGACCATTGCAAATTTTTTTAAAATTTGTTTAACCCTTTATAGTGGCAATGTCCCTACTTTAGTATATTACTCCGTCTGGTGCCAGACAATTTTACTCAAGGGAAAAATGCAGAATTGCCACAAGTCGACCTCGAACGAAACGTTGGCTCACACTCGCTGCTTGCGTTTCGTTTGAGGTCGACTTGTGGCAAGTCTAGGCAGAATGCTGCCACTCAATGAGTTAATATATTCTCAGAACAATTACCATCAAATTTAATCTATTTTGCTGGCAAAATTGCCTTGGAGGGGGTCCTTGATTTGTTGAGTTTTTCTTTTTGGGGGAGGGGGTGAGTGTTGTAAAAACAGAATAGCAACTGGTTTCAGAATAGGAAGAATTGTTGTAATATAGGTAATATAATTCTAAGACAAATCATCCAAAGGAAGCAATCATTCTAGCTCTTGTAGTGTATGTTGCAACAGGGATGGATTTACTGGGGGGGGCTGTGAACTCCCCTAGCCCTGGCCAGAGGGGGTGCAGGGGGTTCTATTTTTCATGATAAAGCAAAAATTATTACAGGCAAAATGAGATACTACCAGATCATGCTGGATCCATCCCTGTGTTGCAAAATGTATTTTCTTCATAGTCAGGCATTCACATGAATGAAGATTAGAATTTCATCATGTTATATAGTCTTAAATATTTAGGAGGGGTCTCCATTATTAAATTAAGAGATTAAAGGGTATAATGAATGGTCACTTAAAGTACATGCCATCTTCTAACTGGTTGGGCACCTTGCCCCTTTTGTGATGGAAAATCTATTCCCTACCTTTATCCCCTGGGACAAAAAATTCATATCAATTCTCCACCCTGATAATGTGCCGATGGTAACAGCAAGAATTGAAGCAAGCAAGCTTTACTGGAGTACATACTATTATTAGGAAGCATCAATTCGCACATGCTAATTTGCCAGTCATGATTTTAAACGTAATATTTCTTATCTCGTATAGAATTCTTAAGGTCTTGTTTACATTTTCCTGGAAGCAAACTAAGATGCATATCCAATATTTGGGTCATATCACTCATATGTCAGTTTTGCAGCTTGGCGGGCATCCCCAGTTCAAAACACTTTCCGTGTCCTCTTAGGCAAGCCTGTCCAGCTGGAGAACATCTGTCGTAATACTATTATATTTTGGCTTTTATTTTGTTTAGCGAACGAACGATATTTACCAAACTCAGTTGGAAGAACAGCCACTACATTAATTTTGTAATTAAAAGTGATATTTTTAAGCGATTTTTCATTTGTAAGAATATTCTTAAGAAATTATCGTGTTACCATGACAACTACGTTAGATACTTCATGTTCGGAAAATACAATGATTTTGTCAGCAAGGCGAGGGTTTCTGCATGCATGTATTTTCTACTATTTTATTACATCCACTATATCTGGGTGTTGGAAGTCATGTGACCGCCGTTGCCAGTGCCTTTTCCCGCCTTCCCTTGCAAGCATGCCAGGGTCGATTCAACTTCATGTAAAGACACGGATTATACGATGATTCTTAGATCCGTACTTAAGGTCTGATTCCACGACGTACGTCGTTGTAATTGTGTCTACGAAATACGGATGGTTGCACATGAGCGATTATATTGAAGTTCCCCACTGTTTCAGCTTTCGCAATGAGTAGAACTGGCTTCTATTGGTATTTTGAATTCTTTCTTCTTATTATTAGCATGACAAAATTACTGGATGCTGATTGGTTGTGAGGAGTAAAATTATTCATTATTTGTACTGCAGTACAATTAATGATTTTCCCAATACAAACAAGATGGCGGAAAAGTATTTTAAACACAAATGAGAAATGAAATTGCCGTAGAGGAACTAGATGAAAATACGAACAAAAGGACCATATTTTGCTTTAACAAAAGAACTATGTGTAAATGAAAATACGAAGTGAACAAAAGCACCAAATTTTGGTTGAAAGTCTGGCAGATGGGCTTTGGCGAGACTGTTGACATTGAGAAATATGCAATTAATTTTGTTGGGGGCGAGTCCAATTTGGCAAATTTCCAAACAACAAGAGTACTATTAATCCCTAATTGGACGAGCAACATCGCATGATTACCTATACGAATTTTTAAAAAATTCTGTAATGCCGACAATTTTCAAGGTTGGAAATTGTGAAAATTCGTAATAATTTTTTTTTCCCATTATATAATCATGAAAATAATTCAAAATACTAAAAGAAATCATTTTATGAAATAAAAATGGTGGTCACCGAAGTTTTTTCGAGTTAAATTACTTTAAACATGAAATATCCTCCATGTTGTGACGTCATTGTTGCCATAGCAACGGCAGTTAGGAGTAGTTTTTTTAAAAATTCCGAACTCCTTAGTTATTCTGTTATAGAAGTCACATACTCTTTGTGTTTAAACAAATATTAATTCTCCAGACATTCATATCCAAATCAGAAAATCTTTAATTTTTAAGAAAGTGTAGCGAGCCACCTTAAGTTGTTTTGCAGAACTGCACACTAAAAACTACGGGTGCAAGTGTTTAATTGCACATGTTCAACAATAGAACTAGATATGTACATTGAATAACTTCAGATGTGTAAGGCCATCATATACCCGGCAAAACATAAATCTAAAATATTTTCAATAAGCAAAAGCCATGTATAACGAAATATTTGTTGTTTAAACGACGTGTATAACAAAGGAAGCAATTTTTGCTGCAACTTGCAACGCTATTTCAGATACAGAGGCATGTTATCTAAACGTGTACGTGGTCGCAAGGATATTATGAGTATGGCTCGCATTCTACTTTGCCAACAACTTCTTCGCACAACGTTCACTAAAGGGATGGAAAATGGAAACATTTGGGTATGCAGTGGCGCTGGAAAAGATGGAGTAGTATGGGCAGTTGGGCACCTGCTCCCTTTGGCCACAAAGTGCGGGGTGGGGTGGGGGCGAGGTAGGCTTTTTTAAAAAAACATATCAACTGAAATAGAGAACCGTTTTCAAGCAATTAATTCAAATTTGAATCTCTAATTTTAAATCTGAATCTCTAATGGTCAAAGAATAATTTGAATCTCTAATGGTCAAAGACTTTGCCTAGAAGCGTGGCATATTAATATGAGTCATCATGCTTTGAATAGGGATGACGGTGCCTATTTTCCAGAGGAATATATGCATCTTCTTGGCAGGTGACGTCATCCCTTGGGTATTTAAGAAGCCACGATCGCAGTTTTAGATCACCCCTGATGAAGACACTAGACTGGAGTGTCGAAACGTTGGGTCTTGATTACAATTCGACTGGGCTTTGTAATCATTTATTTAAACCAGAGTAGCGACCGAAACAAGATTGATATACCTGGTTGCAGTGAACGAACAAACTTTACATCCTAAATAGATTGCAACTTGTCATGTTGTTTTATTCTACAATGCATTTTAGACTTCATCGTCATGAAAATAATGAAATTGTTCCAAACAACTTATAAAATACGAAATCTTTTCCACACATTGAAGCATACAGAACCATGCTCTGTCTTACTCGTATTCTCATTTTCTGATAATGAAATGTATAGTAGATAGCTGTATATTAATTAACATGCTTTCGTTTGTGGAGATGCAGTGCCTAAAAATATATAAGGAGAATTTGGACATTTCGAGTGACGACCTTTCGTGGAGAGGAAATAGCGGTGGGCGGAAAAATTACATGAGCTTTTATACTAAGAATATAAAAGCAATTACGAGAGAAAATATAAACCAGTCAGATGGATTTAGTCAAAACAAAGTGTACACAAAAAATGTAAATTACATTACAGAATATATTAATACAAATATACAGAAAACTGAAGAGAGATGTAGTAGATGAGATCTGGGCACCTGAAATAGTGCTTGACATGATTTAAGGTTTGATGACGAAATAGTTTTGGCAGAATATATAAAATCACAGGTTTTAAGGATATAAGGATTAGGATAAATTAATTGTCACAGATATCAGTTATATGTACATGTTGTTTCACAATAATGATATAGTTCGTTTTAAATGGTCAATATGTACACCATAAAGTAGCTAGATCTCGGTGGCAAGGTGGCATCCGGAAACCATAGGGTTTGTAAATTGGATGCCTTCGTGGAGCAGTAGTAGCAGAGAATTAGTTAAGTGTGGTAAGAAAAATGTAATAAGGCATCTAGGAAGTATTTCAAAATTCTTCCCTTTGCGCAATTTACCGTCTGCCCACTTCTGATAAACTTTGGGAGAGAATTCCGCATTTTGGGACCTTGAAATAGGATGGTGAACTTCTTCACATTATTTCTGCATGCATGACCTCGGGTATCAGCTCGCACTTCTAGTGTCGTAATCACCAATGTATTTCATTGCTGGCAATAAACAGATTGAGAAAAGGGAGTGGTAGGTAATAGCTGATTGTGGTAAGAGAACATGAATTTAATAATATGGAAGGAGTTACGCTGATATATGCTGAAATTAATATTAGAATGTTCGGGTTTGTAATGCAAGTGAGTATAATTTATATACATTTTAAGACCTAACCAGGAACGACTGCGAAAAATGCAGCACAAGGTCCTCTGGTAGGAATTGAACCTACGGCCCTGCGATTCCGGTGCAGCGCTCTAACCAACTGAGCTACAGATGCCAGCTGTTGAGCTGTAACCGTAAGTTCATGTATATATAGGTAATTGGGTGTGCGGGTTGTGATAAGGTCCAAATAATTGAAGTCCACCTTATCACAACCCGCACACCCGATTACCTATATATACATGAACTTACGGTTACAGCTCAACAACTGGCCTCTGTAGCTCAGTTGGTTAGAGCACTGCACCAGAATCGCAGGGCCGTAGGTTCAATTCCTACCAGAAGAACTTGTGCTGCATTTTTCGCAGTCGTTCCTGGTTAGGTCTTAAAAAATATATATATATATACTCACTTGGATTACAAACCCTAACATTCGAATGACATATGCAGAGTATTTTTAATTTACTAAATAGTGGAGTAGTATGCGCCCGATAATTAGAATTGGTCAATGCTCTGACAATTCGTTTCTGAATTAAATAGATATATGCGACTTAAATTGGAAACATAGGTGGAGGATCAAGCAGTGTTACAACAGGTGAGGATGATAGATAATGTGTAGTAGTGATAATTTAGTACTAGCTAATCGGTGAAAACGGGCTCGAAAAATTATGACTCAGCCTTTTTTTTACAGACATGACTATTCTGAGGATTCCAGGTGAGATTCTCTTTCAGAAAAATCCACAGAAATTTAACCTTCGGTTTACAAGTAAATAGAGTAATACATTAATTATCGAATGACAGATATAATGAGAGTCTTTTTTATGCCTGGAGTGGATAATAACATTGTCGGTTATGGCAATGTTAACCGAAGGTTTATTGGCCTTCATCCAAGAACCGATGTTTTGCAATGTTTCGTTTAACACTGCAGCCAGCTAACACCACAGAGTCAGAGTGAGATCTAGAGTAACAAATGCTGGTATCATCCGCAAATAACAAAGGTTGAACTATACGAGAGTCATCAGGGAGATCACTTTGTTTGCAGTTCTGCACTATAAAATACGCTGCTTCAAAGCAGGCTTTTAGCTATGGTAGGGAAAATAGTCCAAAACGTGCAGCGAGTGGGGCAACGTATTTTTGTCATGTACTCATCATTCAGTGTCTTTTCGACAAAAAAATGCAATAGAGCAAGTGGTTTGCAGCTGAAAACGTTTAATTTAAGAAATATTACAAACCTTGCGAGTTGCTCATTAAAAAATTTGGCTTACGTGATCCAATACCGTTTATTCAGAATTGGCTGTCTAAATTTAAAAATGGAGGATGGCTAGACAGCCACCTGGCGAAATGCCAACTTCAAAGAGATTTTTGTCTATGTTATTCCCATAGTAGTTCTGAAAATAATAACTAAATAAACTACTGGTGCAGAGTATTTGGAATTTTCCAATCTGGTTGGAATCGGATTTGCCGGATATGGAATAAATTAGGATAATTGGCGAAAAATTGAGATAATTTAGTTTCTCAAAATGGCGAGCTTATGTTTTCAAAAGCGAATGGAAAATAAACAATTTGAATATCGAAAAAACAGTTTGAAATATGTAACTGTCTAATAGACCGTGAGTAGTTCCCCAGGAGAAAGGAGGGACTGCCGACCACACATCAAGAAACGAAGTACGCGTTGCCAACACAACGCAAAATTCCCATTCGTCGAAATCAATGTGCCCGCCAGTGAAACCTGATATGTAGTAATTATGCTATAAATACTGAATGTTGATTTTATGAATAAACTTGACAGGCCCAAATGAACGGTTACTGTTGGACAGATTTAATTGGATCCAAAGTGGGCGTATTTAGTTTGTTGATATCTTGCCGGCAGTCGATCCCTCCGCCGAAAGGAGGGACCACTCGCAGTCTCCTGTGTAAAGGTAAGGACTTTTTTCATGCAATTAGGTATTTTATGTCAGTTATGAATTTTCATCGTGAGTCTATACTCAAATTGCGTCGAAACGTCATTTAATGAACTTTAAATCCGGCAAATCCGCGTGGATTGAGTGAAAAAATCGGAGACCGGATTTGGAAAATTCCTCAAAGCAGGATCACAATTGAAATCCGGTGCACCACTAATATAAACTTAGATTTATGAATAAAACTTAACATCAAAGAACTGAAACAGTTTAAGTAGTACAATTTAGTCACCTTTCATCAATCCAATCCATGTGTGTTCATATGATCTTCCAGTTTCCTTGGAATATCAAATTCAATGTCGCACATAGTACAAATATATCCAACACCGGTTGGTTCCATTGACTCCAATTCCTGGCATAAACCACATTGAAAGTTTACATTATTGCCATGTTGCCTTGCTATATGTCGCACTAATTTTGCAAAATTGGAAAGATGCATGTTGCATTTCATACAAACATGTTCTCCAGTGACTTCATCTTTGAAAGCATGTTGTTGTATATCTTGCGGCCGAGTAAATTCTCTATGACAAGTGTTACACAAAAAATGTGACTTTTTGTGCGCTTGTAGACTGTGTCCTCGAGAAAATTTCTTATTGCAAACATCACATTCATAAGCGTTATCTCCAGTGTGTGTTTTTTATGTGTTGCCAAATTGCCTGACTGTGAAAATCCTTTCTTACAAACATCACATTCATAAGGTTTTTCTCCAGTGTGTGTTCGTTTATGTGTTACTGAACTGCTCGACTGAGAAAATCCCTTCTTACAAACATCACATTCATAAGGTTTGCCTCCAGTGTGTGTTCTCTTATGTTTTAACAAATCATTTGATTGAGAAAATTTCTTATTGCAAACATCACATTTATATGGTTTGTCTCCAGTGTGTGTTCTTTTATGTCTTGCTAAATTGCCTGACTGCGAAAATACCTTCTTACAAACATCACATTCATAAGGTTTGTCTCCAGTGTGCGTTCGTGTATATCTTGCTAAATGGCTTGACTGAGAAAATTTCTTCTTTATGCAAACATCACATTCATAAGGTTTATCTCCAGCTTCTATTCTATTATGTGTTACCAACTTGTTTAATATCGAAAATCGCTTGTTGCAAACATTACATTCATAAGGTTTGTGTGTTCTCTCTTCTTACTGCATCGAAGCTGCTCGAAGTTGAAAACATATCCTTTTATATACGATCTCACAAATCACAATGAATTGAATCAATGATCGATATCAGATGGATATGTTCAATAAATCCTAAACACGTTGAAACGGTTTAGAATATCGAACGTCGAAACTCCTTCCTAACCTCAGCAATACGTATTTGCTTTTGTGTTATTTTAATCGATGAGAAAATAGATAATACAAGTGTGTTTCTTCACTGTTTTCATTGCCATCAAATATGGCTGGCTGCCGCACAATTACGCTTGACTATAATGGAAATAATTGTAAAATCGCAAACATCAATCCGCTGACATTTCAATAAATACACCGCTGATCCAGAACGCTGATCTCAAAACATGAAGAACATATCATTCAACAACTAAAAGCCTGATTTTTCCGAATATGAAAAAATCTCGTTCATACGTAGCGAGTAATTCAGAGACGATAACGCTGAAGTTCAATTACCTTTTTTGATACACCCTGTATATGTTTGGGAAATTGATAATAACTGTTTTGTAATTAAAAGTAATATTTTTAGGGGATTTTTAAATTACGCACTAGTCAATAGACTTTTCCGGTAATTACGTCACGACTGCATTGCTTTCAACTTAAGACCGCCTTAAATCAAACTTAATTTAAATAGATCATTGGATCAAATTTCTCACTGGCTATGCCCAAAGAAGCAAAACATCCTTCTTTAATTAACACATGCATGATAAAAAGATATTATTTTGACCAATAGATGCTGGAATAAGCTTTAGCACGAAAGGGGTCATGGCCCCTGAGCCTCGTTTTCGTGTTAAAGCTTAGTCTCACATTTATTGGTCAAAATAAAAAATATATTTCATGCAGTGTTTAAGAAGAATGCTCTGCTTCATTAATTGCGCGTACCCAGTGAGAAAAAAACTTGAAATCCTTTCCATTT